GCTGACCATATGTTTAAATGTTATATTATTGAAGCTGTCACTCATAAATTTGGCTTATAAATATGGTATTTTTAATAAAAATAATTAATTAATAAATAGTCAGCAATATTTAAAGACGGGATTCTTAATATTTATGCTAGTATAAATTTCTTTTACATTTCATCTGTTAACCTATTACAACATCATTTATAATAACGGGAAGTTTAATTTGCATGATTCATATATTCCAAAAAATTGCGAAATAAGGCAGCAAATATTCCACTCAGCCAGACATAATTGAGGAAACGTATGGCGCCAAACGACGTCTTTCTCGGGAACACTTAATTAACTTCAAAAGTTTCGCTTTGCTTCCACCAACCATATTTCTTTCTTAATAAAGATTTAATAGCTATTCTCGCAATGGAACGAGTTTGAATGATAAAAGGTTCTGATGATAATTTCTTGTTATCTCATGATAAATCGAGAAAGGAATTTTTTCAAACACTGAGTTACGAAAATGCTACATAAGTTTTCGAAAGTATTTTTCGAAATTCCCTATGCTGTTCTTTAGCTCACTCATGATGTTTGTCGTTATTTGTCGTCAAAAGTTTGTAGTCCACTTTTAAACTTCTTCCTGATAAGTTATTCATCTCACTTTTTGTACCGATGCTGTTTAAGGATGATAATGCAGTGGGGTGCAGCGATCTTTCCAAAATTCGATTTAGATTTTTTTTATTGAATGTTGAATCGATTTTTCGCATATATCGTTTTTCAGCAAACAAACTGAAACTCTGAGCTCGCCAGTAGTTCAGCGGTAAATTCACTGAACGCTGATAGCTTGACAAGCGATCGAGCTGGCTGCATGGGCGGCTTCATGGTTTTCCCATGTCCAACATGGATATGAGGCAGTTTTCCTTAGAAAATCTTCCAAGAAGGCATCTCTTTCGTTAAGAAGATAGCTCTCGCATGCTCTGTCATAATCAAGTAAAACAAACTAAACTTCTCATTATTATTTGCACCCAAGGTTAGAGGGGAAACGAATCTTTTAATGATGTTTATGTGAATTTTATATATGTATGTAAAATACAAAATATGGAACAAAATTATTAAACTTAATTGGAAGGAACTGGCAATAGACCTTTAAATTCGTAAATTTTAGTTAAACACACTCCCGTTTCAACGTTACACTTTTTTACCATTTTTTGTCACTCTGCAGCACGTTGCGTCACTATTTTCTGTAATTTCTCTGCACTGCGAAATCTTCAACTCATTCGCTGCTCAGAATTAACGCAAAGACTTTTCCTACTATAAATTCGACTGCATCTAGTACGCATTACTTTTTCCTAGCATGCTGCCACTAGGGTAAAGCAAGGTTTTCTCTTCGCCTTCTTTCTTCATAGTTTAAAAAAAAAAAAAACAGAATGCGTATTTAAAGATTTCGGGAAAAAGATGGCCGCCATTATGCTGTGCTCTTCAATATATTTGAACAGCATAATCATCAAGTGAACAAAGATACACTGTGCTTATCCAAGCATTTTACAGGTCTTCTAAGTGTTCACGGCATCTATTACACCGTCTGGAAAGCAGAAGCGCAGGAAAGATTTAACATCAGAAAATAACATGCTAATTAAAATAAATCATACAAGTAACCAGGTAATCTTTATATAATATTGCATTAAAATTCTAAAATGGTATCCTGTTATTCAATTTAGTGTTATAGAAAGAAAAAAAGTGCATTAAATTTCAAAAAGGTGCAAAGCTAGACTTTATCAAACATACAAATATCAATAACTTATAAGATGTATTAACGTTAATCAACGCACGCTAGTTGTCATCTCTTCTTCACAAATGTTGAGCATTGTTAACGAGAGCATTTTTACTTCCTTGTACGAAGTAAAAAGGAAGTATTGTAATCGCGAAAAGTTTCAGGCAGCATATTTCAACGAAAATATCCATTTTGACCGCTATCGAATGCAATTTAACGATGTTTTTGCGTGATATCTGTACGTAGACAGAATAAAATACTCTTTTCCTTCAAAAAAATTATAAAACCTGCTTTAAAATAATTCTGAAGAGAATTTTTCGTGGCGTCTGTACGATATGTACGTACGTGCGTACGTACGTATCTCGCATAACTCAAAACGAGTAGCCTCAGAACGTTGAAATTTTGTATATAGGACTGCTATAACATGTAGATGTGCACCTCGTATTTTGGTTGCAATCGGCCGCACCAAACGTATATAAATTATATTATATATATATCCACTCTATTACCCGGCTCAAGTAATCTCAGTTTCTTTACTCTTATATGTTTGTAAATTGTACATTTTTGCTTTAAAAAATGATTGAATTATGTTGTTTTATCTTCCGGTTAAGGATTTTATGCCTTAGTAAATCTGTGTGCAATATTTTTTAGAATTATCAGCAATTAAAGTTGTTTAATTGCCGCTAAGCCTTTTTTTAAATGGCGGCCATTGATGTTACATTTGAAACAGGAGACTAGTGGATTTGTTGCCAATCTAGAGAAACTTAGCTTCGCAACAACAAAGATAACGCCTTCATTTATTATTCCAATTAAATCATGCTTAATCTTTCTGGAATTTTTTCGAGGAAATAAGCGTTTGAGATTTACTTCGTACTTTTTAATATAGATATTTTGAGTTTTTATGTATTTTTGCCTTCTCGCGAAGTGAGAACTGAATTAATTAATGAGAAATACTCAATCGTCTGTGAAAAACTGTTTCTTTTTTGTTTTGTTTGCTTAATTTTCTTTATACATAGTTCTAGCTTTATTATAGTATTTGAATAGAACATGTGGCAACGATTAGATAATTCTTTAAATGATATACATTTTGTGCATTCTGCGTTATAATATGAATGAAATATAATACTGTTAAGTAAACCTAGCGCCAGAGTGTCGCTATGGTAAACACAGTGAATTTTAAAGAATGCATTTATTCTATTGTGGTTTATGCGCTGTCGGCGATGTAGGTTTAATTTAATCTAATAAGTTTAAATAAAATGCAAGAAAAAATGCGTATAATTTAATATTCCGTACAAGGAAATCATGTGGTGTATACATCAGATTTTGTTTCTGGCGAAACATCAGTATCTTTTGAGCTTTTATTTACATGGTAGTCACTGAAAAATTGAAAATTTTGAATCTCAATCCTTTTAATTTTCGTTTTTACAGCTTAATATAGAATAGGGTTGGCAAAATTTCATGTCAGTAAGAGGCGCATGATGGAATTCAGGAAATTTCAAGAGCCGCAACTAGTTTTTCCAAAAGCCATAAGTACGTATTTGCATAGGTTTAAAAGTGGTGAAACTTTCAAATGGAGAGAAAAGTCTGATTCTAAACAATCATTCAGTGACATTTTGCCTTCAAGTGAAGATTTATTAGAAATGTCATCAGAAATTCCCATAGCTTCCAATTGCCATAAATTTTCTACCAATTAGGACCTTGAATCAACTTCTAAATTATTTTTAACTTGTATCAAATTCTGTATGATATTAAATGTTTCTGATGCATTACCTACGTTTTCTGCTCCTCTCACGGATCACTCCATTTTTTTCTACCACTACTAATGATTCAGAAATTGCGCAGATTCTTCGTGTAAAGCACATCACAAGCATTCATCCATCCATTTGTAAAGCATCTGTAAACAAGTCTAACTTTTAAAACATTTTCTTTACAAAATTTTTTGATAGAATCAGTTCAATTATTTTTATGTTTTTTATGTTTTTGAATAGCATTGCTATGTTTTTTAACTAACAAGAAATGAAGTAAAAGAATTACGTTCGGACATTGATCAGTTTATGTTTACAAAAACTTTGATAACATTGTAAAAAGAAATGAAATAAATTAATTACTTTCTTGTTGTTTTAGTTTATCATATTTCATAATCGTATGTTATTTATATAAGAGACGCACCACTCGCCTGCGGGGGCGCGCTATGGCCACCCCTATTTAGAGCATCCCTTGGAGATTAAAATGACTACGTATGATGACCAGCAAATGAGTAAATCTCATTGAGTTTTTCTATTCCAGTGAAAGATCTGTAGAGATATTAGGATTTTTGGAATAGCCGGAGAGATGAAAAATTAGCAACCGCCTTCGCCGGGAATCGAACCATGGACCTCTGGAATACCGGCCCAGCGTGCAGAACCATTACACCACGTAGGCACGCTAGTAGCGGGAGACTACCTTATATACTCACTTTATAAGGGCGACTGGGGTTTTTAGGGGACCCATCGCCAATCCTGGTGTGGAGTGTGTCATATCGCAACCCTTTAGTTCGGGCGCCACTGTAGAGACATTAGGTATTGGAGAAGCCGGAGAAATAAAATAAAACGCCTTCGCGGGAATCGAACCACGGACCTCTGGAATACCGGCCCAGCATGCAGAACCACTACACCACGAAGGCACGCTAGGAAAGCGGGAGAAATACCTTATAGATCAATTATTCAAACTCATAAGAAATACCGGCAGCAGTATAATATCAGAATATCTCTTGGCGATAACATGATTCGAAACCTAGCGACTGGATTTTTGTAGAGCGGGGGTGGCCACAGCGAGATTCGCGAGCCTTGTGCTGCTCTTATAACGGAGTGGTGAGGTTTTTATACAAAGGAAAATACATAATAAATTAAAACTACTCAACTTTTCAGAAAAAGTCATTTCTTTTCATTTGAAACTTGTTTCGCTACTTTGAAAATGACGCAAACATAGACTTGTGGAATTTGGAATTCTTGTTATGGCTTGCGAACTTTCCTGAATTCTCTTGACATGAAATCTAGCCACCCCTGTTATATAGCTATACAGAGTTTTTACGGAGCTGACAAATTCTAATGTAGGTGATCTCACCGAATCTCAGTTCTTATTGAAAAGACGTTTGTTCAGATTTCTTATCATCAGTTACAATGCAACAAATCTATCAAATGCTAGACAGTCATCATTATATAATATTTGATGAAACTTATATATAATATTTAATTAAACTTAGTGATCTGCATTACAGTCAAAGAAGACAAAAGGTGAAAACACAAAGAAGACCGCTCGAAGAGCAACTTCCAATGTATTCGCCATGTTTGAGCAGAATCAGATCGCCGAATTCAAAGAGGTAACTATCCACTTAGAAGAATTTTAATAATGAAGTTCCCTTTTGAAAAGCTTCATTCATTCTCTTCCTCAACATTTTAATACTGATTTACTGATTTTAATGTAGGTTTATTAAACAAATGGTAAATGTAGAGCATTTTAAGAAAATGAAATGATAACACTAATATTCTATATTCGAGAAGTATAATACATGCATTATGACAATATAAACATTGTCACAACGCATGTCAAGTCACAATATAAACATTCATAAAAAATTATAAATTGGTTATAGAATGTAAATACTATTTATAAGTTCAATATCCGTAAAATTTAGAAAGGCATACGAATGGAATGGATGATGAATTGAATATATCAAACAAGTGATGCGTCGAGAAAACCGAAATTATCCTCGTGAAGATATTTCTCCGAATGTCAGATTTTTGTTCTGTATTAATTTGGATCAGATATTTTTCATTCTAGCAGAGACAAAAATAAAAGCAACTTTCCATTTAGACTGGGAGATATTTAGAAAGGAAAATTCACATTCATCGAGAAGAAGTTTTTAAATGCATACCATTTCAGTAACAAAGAAATTACGAAACATAAACTTTCCTGGCATTTTAAGTAAACAAAAACTATATCTTCGAAAATTATAAGAAGTAATTTAACAATAAAATTATAATAAAGGTGAATTAAAACTTACGTTTTATGTACAGTTTCTAGTGAATATTGCAACAAAAATGAATAAATAAATAATAGTAAAACTGACACAAGTAAAATAAGCAAAGCAACGACAAATTCGAGATGTTCCGCTTGAAACAAACTACTTTATTTAAAGCGATTTACATCATTTGTAAATTGAATTTTAAAATACATCTTTCAATTACATTAAATTACATTAAACATATTTCTACCAGCATTTTCAAATTTAATTTTTCACAAGCAGATGTAGCTGTATAGAGCAGAAATCAAATAATCTCATAAATTTTACATAAAAGAGCGTACTATTATTAATTACTGCAAAATACTTTTTAACTATTTTCAATTATTGGACATTCCACAAATACTTAATTTATTAAAAATTATTATACATATTTTCCTATGAAATAACTTTAATATTGCAGGTTTAGGAAGATTAAATTGTGTGCTTGTTTCAAAATGACTTACTCAACATTTCTACGGACCGATTTGTTTTTTGCTGCACTAAGCGTGCAATTAAATGTTATTTTTTGTTTAGCAGATCTATTTAACAGCCTCTCTTCAACGTTCAAGACTGTACGTACTATACTATTTTCTTAAAGCCATGAAATATCTAAAATTCCTTAGCCGCTGTAGCTAAAGTTTTAAGAAAGCAATCTCTAGTTTTTTTTCTATGTGAATTATTATTAGATAATGAAGAGCAATAACATCAAAATTATACTGAATAGGTAAACATCCAAAATCATATTAGCAAAATACTATTGCTTTAGGTGGCTCTGCTGTTACAAAATAATTGCCACTACTAGGTCGATGATACCACGTTTCTTTGAAAGATGCATCACTTTTAGACAGTCAGTGTCAGTGAAAAATATTGCATGGTTTGTCCAAAATATTCAACAGAATCTAGGCAAATTATACTAGTGGTTTATCATTATTATACCACTTTTAACATACCAGTTATCACTACTCTGTTGGCAATATCAAGTTTCTTTGAAGGATAAACCAATTTGTGTTCAAAAGGTTCGGCAAAATATAAATAAATTATTATCCTGGTATGGCTCTTTGTCATTACGATGCCACTTTTATCATACCAGTTATCACTACTATGTTGGCAATATCAAAACTCTTCGAACGACGAACCCTTTTTATCAATCCGTGGTATTCTTATCAAGTATTGCTTGATTTGTCCAAAATGCTTAACAAAACCTAAAGAAATAATCCTAGTGGGATTCTTTGTCATTATAATATTTACCAGTTTTAACATAGCAGGTATCACTATTATGTTAGCGACATCAAGTTTCTGTGAAGGATGAACCATAAAGAAATGTATCGCTTGGTTTGTCCAAAATGTTTAACAAAATCTAAATAAATGATCCTGGTGCGGTTCTTTATCTTTATTATGCAAATTTAACAGACTAATTATCACTGCTATGTCGATGATGTCAAGTTTTATTGAAAAGTTCATCATTTGTATCAGTGGTAATCAAACAAAATTATTCACCAGAGTCTGCTGAAGTAAATCCAGGGAAGGTAGGAAGGGCTACATGTTAGCTTCAAGCTAATTTTGATGCTTTTTATCAGCTGATCAGTAAAATGATTCCTGATTAAAAGTTAAAATGGAACATTTTCGTTAACAGTTGCAGCAAACAAAGGGAACCAGTTTATATAAACTTAATTGTTCTCTACAGATATACTTCAAAAAATTAGATTACATTATTGGGAATTTAAACGAAGAAGTTTAATTTAAAAATCAAAGTCCTTTACTGAAGTGTTCTTTCGATACACAAACTTAATATATTTAGCGTGCTGTCACTGTAATATTGATTCCTGATAATTTAACACATTTTTCTCTGTTAAGTTGCCTGTTACAAAGTTTCTACGATTACTACTCTAGAGTTAGTCATCTTTAATTTCTTGCTCATTAAATTATTTTCTTCTTTATCCTAGGCGTTTCAATTAATAGATTCCAATAAGGATGGACTTATCGACAAAAACGACCTTAGAGCTACATTTGATTCCCTAGGTAAGAAGTTTTCTCCTACTCTTGATTATCTGTATAAAATTGCGTACAATTAGTAAATTTTGAAAAATTGCATAGGATGCTTTAATATGATTATTGGATTCATGATTACCAAGAAAAAGTATACTATAATTGCAAAGTTATGCTACATTATAGCTTACTCTGATCCTAATTTAAGTAATAATTTTCTCACTTATTTGTGCTACTTAAGGATTCCTATGATTAGAAAGGCCTTTGCTGGAATTAGAATCACAGATCTTCCAAGTCTAATGTGCCATCAGAAGCACTCAAATGGCGAGAGCACGTATACGTATACACATAGGGAAATTTTATAATTCCTTACATTCTCCCCCACTTATGGGAAGACTGGGAGGGGACATCGAACAAATTTAAGTGGTGATGAATTTAGTTCGGGCACCACTGTAGAGATTTATTGGATAAATGTGTCGAATTAACTGTGACCTATGCTACTTACACCACAAGATTACGCATGGGAGAACGAGTAAAAGCAAACATTTTATTTGCTTTTACTCGTAGATTTAAAAAAAAACTAAATTATTTACAACAAAGCCAAATGAAAACAGTTTAAATTTGGCTTTAGAAAATACAAAGCGCTGACACTTTCTAGTTCGGTCACTAAGTCCTTTCGGCTGTAAGCAACATAAGGGTGCTGAGGAAATTAATGTTGAAATGCGTACATTTTGTTGATTAATCTCGTTACAGTACTCCTCTTTTCGTCACGTAACTGATCTTCTCAGAGACAATTTATCTAAATGAGAATCAAACAACTTTAAACAATCTGGTTACTTAAATTAAAACCTTATAACAGTTCTTGTTTATCAGTGCTTTCTTGATCTATTTACTACCAAAAATTACATCAATGTTAAATATATAACTTATCGAATTTCTTCTAGGAAGACTAGTAAGTGAAACTGATCTCAACAACATGCTTGCTGAAGCTCCTGGCCCTATTAATTTCACCATGTTCCTTACTATTTTTGGAGAGAGGATATCAGGTATACAAAATGTGTCAGTTATAATGTTTTTACACATGATGGTACTTTCTTAGTCATAAGTCAATATTTATCCTTTTCACGTTATTTATTAAGCTATCAAAAAGAATTTTATGGTGTCAGAAGAAAACTATTCTAAAAATCACAAACTAAAAATTTTTGTCTTTTCAACTTCCAGAAAATTAAGAAATGATGCAAAGAGATAAGCATTTCGAAACAATTAGTCATTTTGTTTGTGACGTTTGAGTGTCTAATAATTATGATTGCAAATATAGTTCCAAATTAGTGACTTCTTATCTATCAAATTTAATTACAAAATAATGTTATAAAATACCCAACAAGAACAATCTCTTTGAACAAACCTCTTTTGAATAAATTTTATGAAACGTAACTTGTTTAAAATTTGAACTATTTGTATTATTTTGCGTACTTTTTCTAATTGCATAAAACCCCACATATTTTTAACTTAAATATTCAAGAATTATTCTACGTAATTTTATATGCTAGGTACAATGCCTGATTAGAATTTCAGATTATTAAACAAAGAAGCTTTAAATTAAATTTTAGTTTGCAGTTAACTTCACAGCAAAAATTTGGCGCATTTCGAAAGACGACTGATACGATCTTTTTCAGCGAGAGCTAATTATTCTGCACATAAGCAATTTTTCAGTCGTCTTAAATTATTCCAGACGTATCTCACTATTTCTTGAGCAAAATCAAAAGGCGGCTGTAGAGATTCCAGTATTTTAATGCCCTTAATGTCTTTTTTAATTAAGCTACAGATGAAAGAGGCACTTTTCAATTTTTAACACAAATATTCAACTTGTGATTAGCATAGATTATATATACCGTGTTCAAAAAAGTCAATACGGGGGTATTATTTTCGAAACCAATGGTCGTAGCTATATACTCCCAACTACAAAATTGTTTTAAATGGCGCAACTATTAGCGTCTTCGCATTTTTTAATTTAAAATTATAATCCATGTTTCTCATAATTACGAAATCTAATATTTTATACATCCCTCTCTACACTCATATTTAGGAAAATATTATACACATTATAAAAAGGATAATATAAAAATCACCGTCATAAGACCAAAAAACTGACAGAGATATTTAAATTTGGATGTTGTATTCAAGGGTGTACACAAATAGAAGAAAGAAGGGTTGCCATTTGTACCTAACAAAAAATAAAATATCAGGCATAGGAAAATATGTCTGGTGTTAATAGATTAAATGGCGAATATTTCTATGCACGTTATCATTAAAAGTGTTGATCAATATTTTTTTTTTTTTTTTTTTTTTTTCAATCAAGAGTTCTTATTCTTGAAATCTTACAGAATTCTTATTCTAGAAAACACTGGCAAGCCTCAGTATTGTCATATTGTCAACTCGTAACGTTACTTGCATTAAATTAAAATTCAAATTACTTCTAGTTTAATGAATTTTCTGTATGATTTTTAGGTTAGGACTTTTAAAAAATAAAACAGCACGTAAACATTATTGCCGTACTTCTAACGTTTCAAAATCCATAAATTATTTGTCTGAAAACTTTTGCGGCATACCAGTTGTAACAAAATTATAAACTAAAGAACGTTACGTATAGCAAATCACAAAACACTATCACTGAATGGTAATTTTATTTACTTGCTCCGCCATTAGGCACTACCCGTAAGGGGTGATGCCTCGTGGACGACATTTTAAGGGAAACTGGATCGTATTCACGTTACACATGGAAAAAATTACGAAAGAGCCCATGCAGCCAGTCCTCCGTTCGCAAGAACTCGAACCCCGGACCGACTTACTAGTGTTCAACAGCTTTTACCGCTCGATTCTAACTTATCTAACGGCCCACCAGCGGCCGAGCGGTTAAGTCGCTGAACACTGGTAGTTCGGTCCGAGGTTCGAATCCCGCGAACGGGCTGGCTGCATGGGCGTTTTCGTGGTTTTCCCCATGTGTAACGTGTATACGAGCCAGTTTCCCTTAGAAAGTCCTCCACGAAGGCACTCCTCCTCTTAGGCTGATAGCCCTCGAGGCTTTGCCATAATCTGTCACACACACACACACACACACATTTTCATTGCATGGGAACATACGGGGAAGGCTTACTCCATCAACCATCTAACTTATCTATCAACCGATCCCTCAAGGCAGGTTGAAAATGACATCCAAAATCGCAGATATTTTAAATTGAATGTCTCATCCAATAGATTTTTTTTAAGTGATTATAACATTTTCCTAAATACAAGTATAGGGACTGATAGAACATATAAATAGTTTGTAAGGATTATAGTAATTTTATTAACAGTTAAATTTTAAGTTCCATTCCTGTCGATTCTTAATTTCAACTTACTACTTCCGGCCAGAAAGTAATTTTAGTTGATTCGTAAAAGTGTAAAGTATATTATAATTTCAATGTACTTTCCTATCGATTCTTGTTTCCACTTACAACTTCCTACCAGAATAAGTTTTTAGAATCGCTTGAATGCAAATGAGTTAGAAGTAGTATTAACGGAAGTTTCAACTTATTTCGAGAGACAGAGAGAGCTAAGAATCCTGAATAGCGCGTATTTGCCTTTGGGCTAAGTCTCCTTGAAGCTGTTACACTTGGCCGTATATTACGTGCCTTTTGATATTCGCCGGCTAGTTTAAATTAAGAGTCAGCTACGTTAGATTTGGGTTAGCTTCGACTAAGTCTCTTTCAGTTAGTTCTAATTTAGTTCTTATTTCTTATTTTGAGTTCAAGCTCGAGTGGAGGCTTTGTTGTAAGCCCGAGAAAGGGGCCAACTTTTCATTTTATTTTGAGTGAAATAAAGGGTAGTTGACCCTTTCTGAGTCTACGTCTTAGTTGTTTGAACTCAGCGATGAGTAACTAACAAGTTCACTGGGTTCCTTAACGTTCATTTTTGTACCAAAAGAGTGAAGAACTCTACAAGGGAACTCCTTCCCTGCAGGATTAAGTTATTATAGGGAACTAGAAATCTCAATGACCAGAAACATCCATAACTTAATAAAATATAGGAAGGAAAATCCAAAATTAAAGCAAGACATTAGGCGTCTGAATAAATAAAGCTAAACATTCAAGGAAGGAGAGGAATTATTTTTTTTTCATTTGCAATCAAAGCCAAACTCAGTTATTTTTTCTATTTGTAAAATTCTAGTTAATGTACATCTCACGCATCTAAGTGAAATTTATCATTAAGTAAACTAAATACATCGGTTTAAAAAATTAGCATATGTAGTAAAAGATATCAAACTTTAAATCAAATTCTTTTTTTAGTTACATAAAAAAAGAGAATAGCTGTGTTGAAAACTGTAGTAATTGGTATCAGCAGATTTTTTTTAATCTAGGCACAGACCAAGAGGAAGTAATCAAAAAAGCGTTTAAGACTTTTGACCCTGATGGCAGTGGAAAAATCAGCGAAAAGAAGTAAGTACGTTTTTCTTTCTAACTCTTTCTCTGAGCACTGCGCAGAGTGAATCATCACCAGCTGTAAGATGACAAACCACGCGTCAAACTGACGCTCCGACCAATAAAATTCTGCGAACGAATCGATGGAACTTAATGGGATCTCCATTTGAAATGAGTTTTCTCGCTAGTGCAATGTGTCATCCGACAGATATTTCTAGCTTCCAGAAAGAAAAGGAAGCTAATCAAAAGCTTTTAAAGAGCTAGGAGTTTCCAAATAATTCCTTTTATGTATTTATTTTTGTAGTTGCCCGCCTTTGCATTTTACACTATCGTTGATAAAATTATAACAATACTCGTTATACTGGGGATTAAATTATAACAATACTCATTATAACTCAGTGAAGTGAAATCTCAGTATTTGTAAATCCAGAATAGCCACTACTTTGGATATATGAATCAAGCTTATAAACATGCTTCTTTAAACAATTAGTCCAAATAGGCGATAGCCCATAATGGCTGATTCGACGTAATCATTTTAAATATTCGAATCACTTTTCAAATGGTTCCAACCAAATATTATCTCCCTGTATTATATTCAAAGAAACTAAATAATGAAGAATTTATATAAATATATGTGTGTTTCTCGTACTGTGAAAAACAATGGTAACTAGAGTCACCAAATTCTGAAAAACATAGTCCTCCACCCGAACATGGGCACCTGGAAGCCCAAATTTTGTATTTCGAATTTATTTTATTGTCTATATCAGGGCTTCTTAAACCTTTTTCAGTCGCGATAACTTTTTATCACTGAGATTTTTTTCGTGACTCCAGGACCCCATAATATTTACGAAAATTTTGTGGGACCCCACAGGCATTGCGGAAATCCCATACACACGCGTTAGTGAAACCGTCAGTTTTTTTCACTTGTACTGTAATATACTATTGCAGTTTTAGGTCATTAACTTTAATTTCTATCTTTAAGACATAGAACAATGCGAAAATTTTTTAAATAAATAGCAGACGAAATGACAGCGTCACGTGCAAAACAAGTAAAATGAATGTTTATGTTAGAAAAAGAATGCGCCGAAATATTTTTGTTTTTTCTATGTCTGTATTGTCTTATCTCTATCTGTTTTATTTTCAGATACATTGTGCAAAAATAATTGGTAATTGTAAAATTATTATAGTAGGATAAGTTAAAGAAACATCAAAACTCCTAAAATTTTGGCGACTTCCTGCTGCAGGTCCGCAACCCACAGTTTAAGTAACACTTCTCTATATCCTATCGTGTAAAACTTTAACGAACTTTTGATTACAAAACTCAACAATATCAAAGCGAGCAGTGACAACACTACCAGGCAATAAAACATTTTTATTTCTAGCCTGTGAGACTGACTATCGGAAATTCTAAAGTTATGCTGTTTTTAAATATTTTTAGCACAATGTAGCCCAAATGCTGTCGAAATGTGCGTGTCAGTACATGAAAAAAACGCCCGTATGGACGTAATATAAAATCTGAAAACTTTATATTTTTTCCCTAATTTTTTTTAATGATAAAACTCTTTAAGGGGTTGTGTCTTAATATCAGATACCTCTCTATTACTGTTTACCAAATAATCACTAAATTGCCAAGCTGAAGAAAACTTAATAATTTTATTGTGCTGATAATAATACAAAATTTCACCCTTAGATTGATTAAATGCACTTTTTAAATTCTTAGTATTCAAAGTTCGACATCTGTCTGAATCAAGACGTGTAATTTGCGCCAATTTTTTCTACTGCAGTAATTCTATGTTATTTAAACGGTTCTATCAGATAGGGAAATCAGTGTGACAGAACGGCGAAACTGTAGGACGCTTTAAGAAAACTGTAGGACTGTTCTCCAACTGGAAATTTTATTTTTGTCGTCGATTAAAAGAATATCCTGAGTTGGAGTTCGTAAAGTTCTCTCACTTTCTTAATCGTAGTTAGAGTAGCTGCTATTCGCATCTTCTGTCGAAAAGCTACTTTTTGAATTTAAAAATGCGTAGCTGCTATGCATATTTCCTCTCTAAGAGAATTTTTTTTTCTTCGTTTAACTCTCATTCTAATTAATTATTTAATTTCTAAATATAACACATATATTCTAAATTAAATATATATTATATTTAATTTCTAATATAACACCAAATAGATGTTATATTTAGAAAATAAATATAACCAAATATTATGTTATATTTATTTTCTAAATATAACATAATATTGTGGCAACAATTTGAAAAGTGAACCGACATTTATAGTGAACCAACGCAAAATACCAAAACGAAATTAATAGCCCTTCTGGGCTAACGCCTTTTGGGCTAAAATCTGAAGCTTTTAGATTTCGCATTACTCCAAATGGGCGTGGGGTTTTTTTTTTTTTTTTTTTTTTTTTTTTTTAGTCCAAAGGGATTTGAATCCCGAAGGACTATTAGTTTCGTTTGGCATTTTGCGTCGACGGATAAAGTCGGTTTCACTTTTCAAACTGTTGCCATAAATGTTAGAGTCCTGCATTATATTTGAAGAAATTAAATAATGAAAATCTGCGTAAATGTATGTATATTTCTCATTGTCATAAAACAACGGTACATAGAGTCATCGAATTTGAATAACGTAATCCTCCAACGAATAGAGCATGTGGAAGACCAAATTTGAAATTTGAAATTTGTTTTATGATCGATTTCCTATTTTTTAAAACTTTGACGAATTTTTGATTAACAAACGTTGGCAACGTTGTGCAGAAAAAACATTTTTATCTCCAGCGCGTGAGTCTCTGTATCGGAAATTCTAAAGATATGCTCGTTTCAAAACTATTTTGCGATATTGCTGTTGCACTGGATCTTATGGTTTAAGTGCGAGGAACATGATATTTAATAAAGAAAGGTAACACACAAAATGTTAAAAAACGCCCCTTTGGACGTAATTTAAAATCTGAAACATTTTAGATTTTTTTTTATTTATTTTTTTAAACCTTTTGTGTGTTACCTTTTTTTATTAAATATAGTGCTTTTCACACTTAAACCATAAAATTCAGTTCAACAGCAATATCGCAAAATTAATTTAAAGTGAACCTATCTTTAGAATTTCCAGCACACAGTCTCGCGCGCTGGGAATAAAAATTTTGTTGTTGTTGTTATTGTTGTTTTTCGTACATTGTTGCCATTCCTCGCTTTGAAATCGTTGAGTTTGTTAATCAAAATTTCGTCAAAGTGTTACAAAATAGGAAATCGATAATAAAACAAATTCCAAATTTGGACTTCCAGATGCCCATATTCGGGTGGAGACGTACGTTTTTTAAAATTTGATGGCTCTAGGTACCGTTGTTTTATCACAGTGTGAGAAACATATGTACATTTATGTAGATTCTTCATTATTTAATTTCTTTAAATATAACAGAGGGCGATAATATTTCTGGGCAACAATTTGAAAAGTGAATCGACGTTTATAACGAATCGACGCAAAATGCCAAAACGAAATTAATAGTCCTTCTGGACGAATTGGACTAAGCATAATAAAAATAGTGAACTCAATAATCGACACTGAGAATAAAGTTTCGAAAAGCACAAATTGTGTCTTTAGTCCGTAAATGTTCTCAAGATACAGACAGGTGCTTCAAAGTTGCCTGAAGTATCTTCTGCTGGTGGACATGTCGAATGCACTCATGAAGAATATGCTTAGCACCTTCATCGTCACTACTGAAGATGCACAAAGCACTTTAACCAACTCAAGATCTCTTTAAATAGCTCATAAAATTTTCATGTCCAATCAAAAGCTGAGTTAATTTATAATCTATTAAAAACTTATAAGCTTTTATTCTGTGAAAAATTGCAGGAAAAAAAAAACCTTTCGGTCCATCGTGCTTTTGGTTAGGCCAGATATTCTCTGTTCCAAATGCAGATAACATCATTTCTATAAAAGCGGTTTCAGTGAGAAATAGAAAAAAAAGATTTAAATCAATAAAGTATAGCGGCTAGCTTTGCTACATCACCAGATCTTTCATTTTCAAAATTTCCACAGTGTCCACGAACGTAAGCAAAATGAATATCAATATCAAGATCTTTATAATAACCTGAATTTCAACAGCAAGTTTCTCTGAAACACTAATTTTCTTTAGCAATTGTAGCCAAGAAAGAGAATCTCTACATATTAAAACGCTCATTGATCTCAAACTAGTACTAGAGAAATTCTGAATCCATTTCACAGCAAGGCTAAAGCATAACAACTCAGCCTGGAAAACAAAGTATCTACCACTAATTCTGTACTTTTTTAATCGTTTTCTTGTTTATCTTCATAAGCAACAGAAGCTATTTCCAATAAGGAACTTAAGAAGCTTCAAGTGGGGCAAAACAGATATCTTCGCATTATTACAAACGTCCACTTCTTTTTGCGTGACAAATGTCTTCACGAAGACTTTAAGCTCGAATCGTTGGCGAAGTTTCTCAGAAAACTCAATGAATGCTTCTATCAGGAAGCACAAAAATGTAATATAATGAGCCACTTTGAACTTTTCAGCTACGAGATTCTTCATGAGGACCGCCATTTTCGTCTTTTTGCGTCTTTCAAGATTAGCGATAATCAAAATTTTCCTACATAAAGCTTAAATGTGCTTTCGTATTTGCTCTGTCCAAAATCTCAGGCTGAAAATGTCTTTATAGCATGATTTTTTACTTCATCCTCATCACTCATTTAATGCAAAGCAAATGGTTGTAAATATTGCGTATATATAGTCTTCCCGTTTATAAGAAAAATTTGTATTTTATGTATTATCTTGTCTCCAGGACTCACTTAGGCATTTCTGTCTCTGCATGCTCCATGAAGCAACCAAATGAAGATAGCCGGTACACAGCTTGCAACTTTGCAAGCTAGATGCAGCGGGAACGGCAAATGGAACGGAACGGAACTACAAAAGCAAGGCAAAGCTTATCATTCATATTACTTCCGTATGTAAAACAAATTAATTGGTACTCTTCAAGGATAGCATCGAAATAACCAACAACTGGTATAGGATTCCTGTTAAACGGATGCTGCAAAGAAGAAACTGGAAGACTGAGTCGAGAAAATTTGATGAGGATTGCATGCAAATTTTTCTTTCATCACAATATTGCTCAAACTTTCAATATCTATAGGTGGAATACCAACGACAGTAAAAAACGTCTCGTCACGAATAGTTTGGTCCACCAGCGGCCGAACAGTAATAACCGCTGAACACTGGTAGTTCGGTTCGGGGTTTGAGTTGCGGCGAAGGGGCTAGCTGCATGGGCGTTTTCATGATTTTCCTCATGTACAACGGGGATACGAGCCAGTTTTTCTTAAAATGATCTCCACGGGGCATCCCTCCCCTTCCGTGTAGTGCCTAAGGGAGGAGCACGTAATAAGTAAAAAACAAAAACTAATAGTTCTGCAGCCATGAACTATTCTTAAAAGAAATCTCGTTTGAATTTTCCTTAGAAGTTTGCGGTTTACTTTTTCGAAAATAGAAAACTGCATATAGTGATGTGTTGCTTGAATGGTTTCTCAGAGTGGTTAAGGTTGTGTCATTTAAGGTCCTTTTGTGTTACCTAGATTAGTATTTGATAGCCTATCCGATTACGTATGTTTTCCAAACAGAATTTTAGTCCCTATCGAAATTCCAGCTTTAAAGAACTTTCTGAAAAAGTTCCGCTTCTTGAACAGCTGAATGAACATTATGTGAATGGAAATTGTTCATAATCAAACTTTTTTTACATTTACTCATAAAAGTATTGTAATATTATTCAGTTGATTCATTCCGTATCCATTTTCAGAGCTCCGCAAGCCGCCAGAAAATATATTGCTGAACGATTGTAATTATCCTACTTCAATGATACGTTCCATTCGCCATTTTAAATCTTACAACTCAGAAGATATTTTCACTGTCGAAAACAATATTTTAATTAATGGGACTCATGAAAGCTCAGAAAGATTGGGTTTTGTTTCCTTTATTTGATTATTGAAAAGCACTGTAGGGTTATCTGCCTGGTAGGAGGGATGTCTTCGTGGAGGACTTTCTAAAGGAAACTGGCTCGTATACACGTTACAAATGGGGAAAATCCAAGAAAATACCTATGCAGCTAGCCCGTTCACCGAGATTCGAACCTCAGATCATGTTCAGTGATTTTACCGTTAGGCCGCTGGCGAGCCAAAAGGAAGATTAGGTACTTTTTGTTCGGTGGGTCTAACTTATTTAGGTAATTTTGCCATGGTACATGTTATACTTTAAAAAAAATTTTTTTGAGTATATACAACCATTCTTAATACTTTTATTAATTAAATATCTTATTACAAAAGGCAATTTAGAAAGTAACTTGTGTCCACAATCAGTTTTTAGAAGAATAGTCCACTCAGTACTACATAGAAAAAATAGACACCTGTTAAAGTTTTTCGTGAGCTAACAGCTAGGTACGTGCTTATTTCGAGGAAAATCAGATAATTCTTTAACCGCGGAAATGCATTGTCCATTAGGAGATATGAAACAAAGGAAGTAGTATTGATTGTATCTGCTTCTCATGCTAGTACTTAAAAGCATCCGATAAGTAATGATTGCAATCATTGTTTACAAGAACTCTTCCTATTTTTTTAACTATCTCTTAGATAAGTTTATTTTGAGGTTCGTGCATAGCATTTTTTAATTGGCTCACTGTAGTAGGTTTATAGATCATTCATAAATATTCAGAATTAACTTATTTCGAATTCTGAATCAACTGCTGCTTCAGTACTATATATGCCAGTAGTGCTAAGTCTTAAAAATGCTTCAAGTACTTCTATTGATCTATTTTTATTCATTTATTTTATTAGTTTTAAATTCAAAGTTTTTCCTTTTCTGTTTCAGATTACGCAAAGCTCTAATTACCTGGGGAGAGAAATTACAGAATTCGGAAGTAAGAAGTACATTTGTTACAAAATTTATTCACTTTTGCAATTTGCTTATCAATGGCTATACATTTTGTTATAATTGCATCCATGAATATCAGAATTCGAGGTTCTGTACAATCTGAAAATGTAACTTATCTGCAGAATCTTTCAAAAATTAAAATGGTGAAAATCGAAGAAGCAAATACTGTTAATTAATGTGACAAAAAAAACTCTTGGGAGAAACCTAAACACGATATTCAAAGAAACATATTTACATATAATAAAAGGAGGAATGATACAATAAAAACATAGAGTTTATAAAATGAGAAATAACATTATCTGCAGCGAAGTTTCAGTTTGAAGAATCGTAAAATCAACAAACGTAACTTTGGTACTATTCTTAAGAAATGTTTTTAGAATTCCATCAAAAAAAATCCAATGATAAACTTCTCTAGAATCCTTTAGAATTATGACTCAGTTTTTTTTGTAAACTAGATTTTCTGCAGGTTATTATAAAATTTTAGATATAGTTTCCAGCAGTTATGTATAGTTAAGCGTAGATATTCTTGTACAGATTTTTGCTGAGATTCTATAAAAATCTGTGCAGATTTTCTAAAGGTCCCATATAAAGAATCTAATATGATGTGTTTAGATCAACTAATAAGTTCTACTGAAAGTATCAGATCCAGTTTACAGAAAATTGGATCATAATTCTAATGAAATCTAATCAGGCTTCCTTGCATTAATTTTCTATAAAAAATCCTATAGAAGCTTTTGATATATAAAAGCATTATAAAATAAACAAAATTTTCCTTTGAGATTAAAAAAATGAATTAACTTTCATTTTTGAATAGAATTTTTTTGATAGAATTCCTTAATTTTTTAAATGGTATATTACATAAAGGTAAAGAATGAAAATTTCGGATAGACGTGATTTTTCCCCCCTAATAAAAATTTTAGTATCGTTTTGATTTCAAAAGTGTTTAAATAACTTAAATATATTTTAAATAATAATTCAGTTCAATTAAAATTAATAAATTCTTTCTCTTATCGGCAGCACAAGTACAATAATTACAAGCATTAATGTCAGGAATTAAAATTTTATAATTAAGAGCATAAATGTAATTAGTTTTATCACTTTTAATTAATTACATGACTTAAATTGATTTTACACTTCTACAAGCTTTAATTTTTATATTATACAGAGGATGTTTACACATTATTTTAACGATTTCGG